ACTACTGGTTTTAAACTATTTGATTACCGTGTCCCTTGGTGTAGTTTTCTTCATGTTTTTGTGTTTGCTTGATATTTATTTAACTTAGATTTGTGGATTTATTGTTTTCATCAAATTTGGCAAGTCTTCAGCCATTATATCTTTATTTTCTGTCCTCTCCCTCCTTTGGGGACTCCAGTTACATACATATTTGGTCATTTCAAGTTGTCCCACAGCTCACTGATGTGCTATTCAATTTTTTCTAGTTTTTTTTTCCATTCAGTATCTCATTTGGTATAATTTTAATTGCTATCCAGTGTATTTTAGGATTTTAATCCTATCCAGTGTATTTTTCACCTCAGGTGTTATCTCTAGAAGTCTAGAAGTTCAATTTAGGTCTCTTTATAGCTTCCATCTTTTCTTAACAACCGTATGCTTTCCACTACCATCTTGAGTATATGGAACATAGTAACAATAACTATTTGAATATTCTTATTAAATCTATTTAATTTATTTTAGTATCTCCACTTATTAGATGTCTGTCAATTCTGGGTCTATTTCTATTGAGTTTTCTCTTCACTATTGAATTTTCCTGGTTCTCTGCATGTCGGTAAATTCTGATTGAATGCTACATATTGCATACTTTATTAATGGGTGCTGGATATTTTGTATTTCCTTAAATATCCTTGAGCTTTGTTCTGGGATACAGTTAAGCTACTTGAAACAATTTGATCCTTCAAACCAAGTGTCTGCAAACTAGGCCCACAGGCCAAATCTGGCCCACTGCCTATTTCTATAAATAAAATTTTATTGGAATACATTCTGATACATGTAAATACATTTGCTTACAAATTGTTTATGGCTGTTTTAACAGTAGAAGGGCAGAAGTGAGTAGTTACAACAGAGACCACATGGCCCACATATCCTAAAATATTTTCCATCTGGCCCTTTACAAAACAGTTTTATGACCTGTCTTGAACGGCTTACTTTTAAGATTTTTTAGGCAGGATCAGATTAGACTAGTCTAGGGCTAATTTTGTCTCATCGCGGAAGCATTAGTCTTCTGAGTACTACATCTAATCCCACTTATATACAAGGTTTTTCCACGATGAATGGTGGGAGGGTGGGAAGGGGCACACTCTTCCCTGCCCTACATGAGCTACTTTTTTCTTCCCAGTGGCTCTTTCCTCATCCATGGGTAGTTCTCTTACGCATATGCACTAATCAGCACTCCGCCGAAGCCTACAGGAGAGCCCTCTGAAGATCTCTGGAGCTCACTCTCTGTGTAACCAACTCTCTCTTCTCTGGTACTCTGTCCTTCAAATTCTAGCTGCCTCAGCCTCCCAGAATTCCTAACTCTATCATCTCAACCTAGGATAAGCTATGTTTGGGTTCTGCTTTCCTGCATTGCAGCCTGGGGCAAATCATTTGTTTTTTCCTTCTCTCAGGGTTCACTGTCTTGTGCCACTTGTCCAATGTCAGAATGCCTTTGTTTCATATATTTTATGGGCTTTTTGTGTGTGTCTGTTTGTTAGGCTATTTTAGGCGACAGAATAACTCCAGTTCCTGTTATTGCAAGATGGCTGGAAGCAGAAGTCCTCTCAGTACGAAGTTCCAATTCTTTATATTTGCCTTAGTGCTTTATAGTTATAATAAACTGTCCCAGCTCAAGCCATTTACCCAATTCTATGGTCAGTCAGCAACTAGAGAAGGGTGTAATAAGCAAAGTCAGTAACTAGTATAGCATCCCTTTACCCCAATCCCACTTTCCTATCTTTGTGGGATGTATATTGTGGGATATATATCACGGACTATATATTACAGTAAAACTTGGTTTTTAAGATTTATCTTTTCATTGAACCAGTATTTATTGAGTGGTTGTTTTTCCTGGCATTGTTCTAGGTGCTGGGGGTTCACCACTGTGAACAAAACACGCAAAAATTCCTACCCTTGTGAAACATACCTATGAATTAAGCTTATCTTTGAATTAATTGTTTCTAGTAGCTTAACTGTATCCCATAACAAAGCTCAAGTAAGATATGTATCAGATGGTGATTAAAAAAAATAAAAGTAATGAAGAGACAGGAAGTGCTAAGATATTTGGCAGGGAAAACAGTGTCACTTTAAAACAGGCTGGTCGGGGAAAAAGGCATGGGTGAGAAGATGACAATTTAGTGAAGACCTGAAGGAGGTAAGCATGTAAGTCATGTGGCTATTTCTGGGTACAATAACTGCAAAACTGACGCAGAAACAAGAAAACTGGTATGGCTAAAGCAGTCAGTGAAGGGAAGCGGTAAAAGATTAGGCCAAAGGTAATGGGACCCATAGCACACAGGAGCTGATAAGCCTCTGTAAGTGAGACGGGAGGGACTGGAGACACTGGAGCAGGAAAGTAACATGATCAGACTTAACAGTTTTAAATCATTTATCAGGCTGTTGTGTGGAGAGTGAATTCTAGGGGAGAAAGTATGAAACCAAGGAGACCAGTTAGAAAGCTACTGTTATAAAGAGATGATGAAGGTGTGCACCAGTGCAGTAGCAGAAGAGGTGGGGAGAAGTGGCCACCTTCTGGATTTAGGCGGGGCTGACAGTATCTCCTGACAGCTGGCTGTGTAGAGGGTGAGACAGACGAAATGAGGATGCTGCAAAGGCACCTGGCCTGTGCAACTGGAAGAAAAGTCTTCCTCATCTAGGTAAATGGCTACTTAGCATGAAGGAAGTTTGGTTGGGAATAGAGAAGAACTCAGGAGCTCAGGTGCAGACACATTAGGTTTGATATGCCTATCAGACATCCAGCAATTGGATATTTGAATCTGAGTTTAGAGAAGAAGTCCACACTGGAGACAATTTGATAGCTGCCAGCATATATGTATTTAAAGCCATGAAAATGAATGGGAACAGCTAGGGAGTGAGAATCGACAGAGGACAAGTACAGAGACTGTGCCCTGGGACAGCCAATGTTTGGAGGTCAGGACAATGAGGAAGTATCTGCAAGAAGGATAAGAGTAGTCACATGCAATAGGAAAGCAGTTGGGAAAGTGTGGAGACTCAGAAGACAAGGGAAGAACATACTTCACAGAGCAGCATGATCAATGGGGTTAGTGCTTCTGACAGGTCAAGGAAGATAAGGACTGAGAATTAATGGTTGGGTTTGCAATATGAGGATCGTTGGTGACACTCGAGAACTTTGGTGGAATGCCCAGAAAGCACTGAGAAATTGTGTAAAAGGAAGCAGGGACATTAAATGGAGCAGTAATTAGAGAGGAATGGGAGTTAAAATTTTTTTTTTTTAAGTAAAGCAAGGAGGCGGGAATGCATGATGCAGGAGAGAGAAGGGACAACTACTGTAGTTATATCCTTGAGCAGGTGAGAGGAGATGGGACTAAGAATATAAGTGCAAGGGTAAGCTTTAAATTGACCATGGCTGGGTATCTTTCTCCAACTATGTTCAGCTGCACTGCTGCGTGCATGGAATCAGCAGACCAAAGCACCTGGATATAGATGGCTAAGTACAACGGAGCAAAGGGGAGGGACAGAGAAGATCAGTGGATGAGTGATTTTAATGAGAGGGTAGGCTATTGACATTGAATAAGGAAAGATGTGAGATATGAAGGAAGTGTGCTGCAGTGTAAAAGTTGTATGTCTAGATGGAGTTAAAAATGTGTTGGAGTGGGAAGACAGATGGAGAATGGGGTGCCGGGACTCAAGATCATGGAGTGAGAGCAGTTCTTATTAATGACTAGGCCCACAGTATGACTATGGGTGGAGGTTGCTAATGTAGTTTGGAAGACAAGGTCATTGAAGGAGAGGAAATCAAGAAACTGAGAAGCCAGGATGTTAGGACTCTACAAAGCCTGAAAATCACCAAGAATTAGGACACAATAGTGTTACAGAGAAGGACGGATCCTGAATCTTCAAGGAATAATGAACAATAATGTATTCTAATTTCCAGATTTTAAATTTTTATGTTGTCTTATAACTATATTTATAATAATGACTTAGGCCTTACTCCAAGTCAGCTGTTTTAAGCTAATCCAACTGTCCTTTTATGGTCCAACTTGCATTCTGTTCAAATGTCCTTCTTTTCTTTCGCTATCATTCTGAAAAATGTACAATTAATTCTGTCATTTAAATCAGTTTTCTAAATTCTAAAGCAAAATTTCTCAAACTTTTCCATGGAGCACCAGTTCGATGGTATATTTGGTGAGGTAGGGGTTGTATAGTGAAATATGTTTGAGAAACACCACAGACCAAAGGCCATCGATAATCACTTGTTGGAAATAAACAAGTCTAATTTGATTTTAACTCAGCTTTTTCCACAAATTTAAATGACCATAGGCTCATTTTCTGTATAATATCAGTTAACATCCTAAGGAATGAATATACCAAGGTAGGTACTATCGGGAAGGCTGTATTAGAGGTGTGTGTCTTCTTGGTGACTTCAAAAGAGGTGAAACAGAACCTGCTAGAACAAGATTCAAGATACAGACTTAGAATCTGTCAGAGAATGCAAATCTTTGTTAAGTTACTTTGTAACAATATTCTTCTCGCCTGCTAACATGATGAAAAACAAAACCATCTCAGAAAATAAATTCTCAAAGATGTATTTAAAATTGGTTTAGTATATTTCAATTCTCCTCCATAAAAATGACACTTCATAGACTATTTAAAAACAAAGATACATAAATATGTTTTGGAGGAAGACTAATGCCCAACAGGATGTCTGCATCTACATACAACCTAAGTTCTGCCCTTTGCTCCCACTAACCATAAATCTGATAAGAAGTCACTATAAGGAAACAAATGCCCCAGGCCAAGACATGTACTTCAAAAATCACTATCAAAATAACTATCATCTAAGAGGACCAGAAAAAGTGTGACAGACTTTAAAATAATGTAAGAACCAAATAACAAAAAAGTTTTGCTCCAATTTTTGCTCTAGGAGCTCTAAAAAACCATTATCAAGTTATTAGAGAAGGTATTGGGAGAAGAGGATAAAAAAAATTGAAATACCAGCTTACAAAAGCCAATCACGATGTTTATGAATCAGGCAGGAACAATCTGAAAACAAAAATAAAAATTACTAGTTTTATATAATATTTGCACATGCATTTATTGATTATAATTCTGAGATCATTGTATGTTCATACGCAGTTTTAAAAGAGCCTTTACTCAGTTTCCCACAATAGTAACATTTCACAAAACAACAGTACAATATTACAACCGGCATGTTTATACTAATACCATCTACTAGTCTATTGCGATTTCCTGTTTAATTGTATTAGCGTGTGTGTGTTTTATACAGTTTGAGCACATGTGTAGGCTCACATATCTACCACGAGTCAACATATCGAACAGTTCCATCACAAGGATCCATCATGTTGCCCTTTGACAAACACATACCACCTCCTTTGCCACAATCCCTCTCTGCCCCTGACCCACTGCACATCTATTTTTAACACTAAAATAATAACAGCCATTTACAAAAAGTATTTCACTCCTTGTCCATAGTTGAATGTTGTCTACTACTACTACCACTACTACTACTACTACTACTACTACTACTACTACTACTACTACTACTACTTCCTAGTTATATGTCAAATCTTGAACGAATACTTTTAGTTTTCTGCATTAAAGTTTTAGTTTAAGGAATAAATTCTCCAGAGAGAAGTCTTTCTCATTGTTAGCATGGCATAGATCACTCATTTCAAAAATCAAAACGCAAAAAGTAAGGGAGCCAGAGGTGGTATCTGCACTCACAGATTCCGTATTTTCAATATATTACTAACGAGAAACTCTGAGTGCTTACTGTGGGCCAAGCTACATATTATATATGTATGTATGTGTATGTGTGTGTGTGTGTATATATACAGACACACACAAACATATACATATATTCCATATACCAAGCCTTGATGTATGCACATTGACCCTGTTTGGCCCAGGAGAAAACTGAGGCACCAAGAGGTTTACAAGTTGCCTAAAGTCAAATAACTAGCAAGTGGCAAATCCTGGAACCTGGGACCAGACTCTGGGCACCCAGACTCTACCATCCCTCAAGGAAACCATGATAAAGTCAAGATGTTTTGGTGTAACCATTCATTGCTAAGACAAATAAATCACCCGATTATTGGTAAGCTTCACTTTAACATAACGGAATTCAACAACGAAAATGTTCAAAACAATGATGTGTAAAATGGAAGAGGTATTTTATTCAAATACAAAATGATAGGAAATTGCCAAAAACAAAGGTTGGGACATGCAGAAAAGATTTTATATTATGGCAACAAACTGTTCACCAGCCCTGAACAGATAGTCTTAACATTCGTTGGGGACTGTCAGGCAGCAGTTTATACATAGCCAAGATTACTCTTGAAAAAGACATATTCAATTGAGCAGAGATGATGATGGGAGAACTGAAATTTCTGAGCAGATAAAAGCTTCAAAATTAGGCTCTTCAGCCAATAGAGACATCTAAAACTCCAAAGATAATGTTCAGGTTATAGTAATTTAACAGACACTCATTGTGACAAACTTTCTGTAGGTTTATTAGCTTAATAATATAGCATTATTACTGAGGACTAGTAGATATTCTCTTATGTGAAACTACACAGGACATTTATGCATAGCTGTGACAGTTTTGCCTATCATTCAACAGTACTTAAAAGGTGCCTACTCAATAAGCCATTGATATGCTGCACCAAATACCCTGGTGAGGCTTTCTTTACAGTGCTAATTTTACAGACATCTCCTGGATGATCTAAGTTCAACAGGCAGCCGGGGAGGAGAATGCATTATTAGCATGGTTTGGTGTGCATATAACTGAGTTATACATAGGAACTAGGGAAATGGAGCTCTGAAGTTCATCTTCCAAATGAAGATACATGCTATTAGTCTCGACTTTCTGGGAGGGAAGTTAATTCATTACTTCATTAACACTGAAATATATTAAAAACATTTTCAGTTAAAAGAAAAAAACCTTTAAATTAAAATGCTTACATGTTATGAGATTTCTAGAAATCACTATTAATTGGTTTTAACTAGTTTTATAATCTCCCCCAGTTACTTAAGGCTTTTATTTATTTATTTTTTGAGACAGGGTCTCTGTCACGCAGACTGAAGTGTGGTGACATGATCAAGGCTCACTGCAACCTTGATCTCCGGGGCTTAATTGATCCTCACACCTCAGCCTCCCAAGTAGCTGGGACTATAGGCATGTGCTACCACACCTGGCAAATTTTTTTTTGGTAGAGACAAGGTCTCACTATATTGCCCAGGCTAGTCTTGAACTCCTGGGCCCAAGTGATCCTCCCACCTTGACCTCCCAAAGTAAAGACTCACATTTTCTTAAAGGTGGGTAAGCAAAGGATCAGGGTGAAGGAAACCCTCTCCTCCTTTTCAGACACCACCCTGTTTGCCCTTCTTCACCAAGAAGCCAGCTGTCTGTGGCTGGGCCAGCGTGACAGACTCAGGGGACATTGGATACAGCTCTCTTTTCAATGTCTCCTAAAGTTAAGACTTCTATAAGCATTATTATTTCAAGAAAACACTGTGCCCTGTTCTTCTTGAGTAAATACAAGGCAGATGGTAACCTTAATTTTCTCTGAAAACTGTATGTCTAAAACATGGGAAAAAATAGATATCAAGGTTCTAAGAATGAAGAAAAATCAGAATTCCTCCATGAGCTACATTTATCTCCAATTCTTTTCCCAGGGAGACACATACACAAAGCACCCTTTAAGTTGAACACGACTTGTTTCTCATATCTTTCTAAAAGTATGTTGTTTATTTAGAATAAGCTTTCTATCTTGTCTGCTAAGCTTTTCCCATACATATAAGATAAAAACTGAGAAACACTTTTCCATTCCCAGTGATGTTTGCCCAGTAAGTCTTGGTAAATAATAATGATTATGCCTAAACTAACATCACTGTTTCTCTGCTGATAAACACAGTCACCTGGCGGTGTGACGTGCATGGTTCCTCAGTGGTTCATCATTCTAGAACATCCTACAAGATTAACTAAATTTTTCAAGTTTGTCTATCACGTCAGCTATAACATTTATGTTTATGTCACTGTTTTTAAGTTGTTAAATTCTTACAGGATACAGACTATATCTGTATAACTTAGTTTACAAAGAATAGCCATGCACGAACATCCCATAAATGCCCTTGGCAGTGATGACCACAATCACAGCAGAGTTAATGGCAGGTTTACTCCACTTCATCAGAGGTTCTGAAGGAGGAAACCAAGATCTTCCCTGAAAGGCAAGACCTGGCATCAGGGGCTACTGTGGACACTTTCCTTTGAATTGCATTTATCTGCCAGGAAGATGATATCCTTTATCGTTTTACATGAAAGCATTTGAAAATTCTAAAAACTGACCATCCCTGTCTTGGTCAGTTCAGGCTGCAATAACAAAGTGCCATAGACTGGATGGCTGACAAAACATTTATTTCTCACAGTTCTGGAGGGGAGAAGTCTGAGATCATGGTGCCAGCATGGGCAGGTTCTGGTGATGAACCTCCTCCAACTGTCTACTGCTGACTCTCCTATCTTCACAAGGTGGGAAGAAAAGCCAGCTAGTTCTCTGCCCTCTTCTTATAAAGGCACTAATCCCATTCCTGAGGGCTCCACCTTTATGGCCTAATTTCATCCCTAAGGCCCCACCTTCAAATACCATTTCATTAGAATTAGGGTTTCAACTCATGGCTTCTGGGGGGACACACACATTCAGTTCATTGCAATGCCCTTACATAGACATGAAGACAGGTCAGGTATGTTTGAAATAACTCATGATCTGCAAAATCTCACACCAAAAATAACAGAGGGGGAAAAATTCAGAGTAGACCACTCAAAACCTATCACAGCACTAACCAAATAATAATGCATACCTCAGGTATAACTTGGAAAGCCCAGATAGTCAGCTCAGTGTGACTGAGGGTACCCCAGGGGACATTAAAATGCACAGAAACAATAGAGTGGGAAGGTTACTACAGTAGAAATGCACGGAGGATTCAGAGATGAGTTCTCATCGCTGGAGAGTGTGATATGACAGTGAATTGTGTCAATGTGACTGTGCCACAGGTGCCAGGTTAAACATTATTTCCGGCTGTGTCCATGCAGGTGTTTCTGGATGAAATCAGCACTTGTGTTGGTGGAGCTGGGAGCATACCACCCTCCCCAATATGGGCTGGCATCATCTAATGCATTGAGGGCCCAAATAGAACAAAAAGGTGGAAGAGGAGGAATGCACCCCCTTTTCTTCCTGCCTGCTTGAGCTGGGACATCAGTCTCCTCCTGTCCTTGGACTGGGATTTACACCCCCGGCTCCTCTGCTTCTCAGGCGTTCAGACTCGGACTAGAATCACACCACCAGCTTTCCCAAGTCTCCAGCTTGCAGACAGTTGACTGTGGGATTTCTCAGCCTCCATAATCATCAGGGTCAGTTCTTTGTAATCAATCTCTCTTTCTGTCTCCATATATGTATCCATGGGTAAACATACATGCACTCTAACTCTGCCAACTCAGATTCACTTGGGTTCTAGAGACTGCCCAACAATTATGCAACGTTTCCCTAATCTTTGGTCATTTCATTTCACACCTTCTCTCCTATCTTCTAATTGCCTTCCCCACTCCTAATACTTACATATAACATCTCTCTGTTAACATCCCTACTTCATGCTTCTGTGAGAAAACAAAAGCTGTTGGATAGGGCATCTCTGCTTTCTATCTCTAAACTCACAAACTTCCCTATATCCACAGGAGGATGCACCCTCCCTAGAACCAGAGGCCAACTCTACCTCTCTATTCAAAATTTCTTCCTCATTATCTTCTCCCTTTCTACTAAAGATACTTGTCATCGACACACACTATGCTCTGATAGTCCCAATTTTTTATTTTTTTATTTTTTGAGACGGAGTCTCACTCTGTTGCCAGGCTGGAGTGCAGTGGCGTGATCTCAACTCACTGCAACCTCCACCTACCGGGTTCAAGCGATTCTCTTGCCTCAGCTTCCCAAGTTGGTGGGACTACAGGCATATGCCATCACGCCCAGCTA